AGGGACCGACCGTCCTGGCATTCCAGTAGGCCTACCACGAAATGTTCTTAGAACGCACAAAAACGTTCTCATCACAGAAGCAAGGTTCTTCCAACAGCAAGCCGGTGTGCTAAAACAAGACAGTCCCAGCCAGAACTGCCCAACAAACATTTCGTGCAGACCACAAAATTCTGAGAACATTCCTTGCTGGGCCTCTGAGCGAGCCAGGACGCTAGGCAACTGCTTGAGATCCCACTCTGGCAGACTAGGGGGCTGCAGGCAGAGGGCGAGGCTCTTACGGATGACTCGGGTACCTCTGAGAGGACGGGCGGGTCTGGGGGATGGGGACGGGCGCGGAGGCCGTGTCGGAGCGCTCTGCAAAAGCTGTCCAGAACGCTCTGGGAGAGCTCAGGAGCGCTCTGGAGCGGCTGATGCCCATCCTGGGCTTGCTGGACGACGGAGCCCGCCAAATATCGAGGCCGACACGCGTTCGCCTCTTCGGGCGAGGTCGTCGCACCTGGATATGCTTCTGGGGCCGAAATAGGCCCAAAAAGCCGTGGACCTGGCGCGATCCCCAAAGGGGGAAAGCTTCCTGAGTAGATAACTGAGCAATGAAAACGATGCTTTGTTTGGCATTTGGCGTTGATCAGTATTTGTTCGCATGGCTTGCATGGCATTGCCTGGCGTTGCATGGCATTGCTCCTCACTGCGTGGCGTTGCCTGGCATTGCTCGGCATTTTCGGTTTCCTTTACAGCGCAGATGTGGAGGGGAAGGAAGGGCTCACACCACGAACCTCGCGAATCGTGCAGCCGGCGGGTCGCAGCGAGGCACAGTTGGCCTGCAGGCGGCGTTCATTGCAGCGGCGGTGCCTTCGGCGGTGTTCACCAGCCGGCGACTGGCCTGCAGGCTCCTGCCGCAGCGTTGCCGGTGCCGTTAGCTCCAGCTGCCTTAGCCCCTGTCCGTGAAGAGGCCTTCTCGAGCACATCTGTAATGAACAGGGGCCGAGGCTTCGTAGGTACACGTGCGACATCGAGTGAATGGAGGCACGACGAGGAGGAGGAAGCGGAAGAGAAGGAGCATTAATGAAGGGGGGACGCGAGAGGCCTTCTGCAGGTGTTTTCATGGAAGAAGAAAGCCAGGAAGCCAGAGGACGAGACGCAGACAGCGCGGCTAAGATGACACATCAATCTTGCGCATCCCCGACGCATGCCACCTGTTTGTCAGGAACACGCGGGTCGCTGGCCTTGCGAGGCCCGCTCGCGACCAAAACTTGGAGGTGGCACGCTAGAACAGGCCAGCCCGGTCTCGCAGGAGAGGGGGACGAGGAGGAGGAGGAAGAGGACAGGGTAGGGAGTCCTGCTGCCTTCAAGCGGAAGATGCCAATTCTACGTGATCTCAGGCCGATGACCATGCAATCATATCCAAAAGGATATCCGCCACCGTGCCCCCTGGCACGTTGAGGCGTGGCAGACTGCCAAGAGCTGCCTGTCAAAATTTCTGCAATATTCTAAGGGACACCCCTCTGTACCCGCATCCCCTTCCGTGCATCGCCCCCCCGTCCCTTGGCTCCCTAGGCTGCCAGGCGGTTTCCTAGCGCTCTCCCAGGCATCCCAAATGCCGAAGAAGGCTCGAAGAAAACTTCCAGCCGGGCCCGAAGATACACAACTCATTGATGTCCTTCGGTTGTTAATGGGCTTTCGCACTATTACTCTTTCAGGCTTCCGAGAGCTAGAGACGGCCGAAGAAGCCTCCAAGATAAGGGCGCATCAATATTGCCCAAGAGGCCACCAAGGCGGCCTCAAGATTGCCCAAGACGGCTCCACGACGGTCAAAGGAGGCCCCAGAGACGGACAACGAAAGCGTCAGACGACCCAGGAGCGCTCTCAGACAGCTCAAAGAGCCCCCAAGAGCCTTCAAGGCTCCCCCAAGACGCCCCCGAAAAGCTCCAAGGCCTCCAAGAGATCCCCCGTGCCCACGTGTGACGGACTTCCACTTCCTCCTCCTCATCAGATACCCCATCCCCTCCGTCCGACTACATCCCCTTCCTCCTTATCATCTCTTCATGTTCTTCGTTGTCATCGGCATCATCGGCATCATCATCACCATCATCATCATCATCATCATCATCATCATCATCATCATCAACATCAGCATCATCATCATCGTCAACAGCAGCCTCATCATCATCATCATCATCATCATCATCATCATCATCATCATCATCAGCATCAGCATCATCATCATCATCATCATCATCATCATCATCATCATCATCACATGCATCAACATCAACATCATCATAATCAGCATCATCATCCTCAACATGAACATCAGTTACATCATCGTCATAAAAAACAACACCACCACCATCATCATCCTCCTCATCCTCACCCTCCTCCTCATCCTCATCCTACTCCTCGTCCTCATCAACATCGTCATCATCATACTCGTCGTCTTCGTCGTCGTCGGCATCATCGCCATCATCATCAGCAACATCAACATCAACATCGGCATCAGCATCATAATCATCCTCACCAGCATCATCACCAGCACCAAAATCGGCATCTGCATCAGCATCAGCACCAGCATCAGCATCGTATCATGATCGTCACCTTCGCCATCACCATAACACTCATCATCATCACCACCATGGCCAAGACCATAACCATCGCCATCACCATCATCCTCATAATCGGCACCATCATCCTCATCATCACCATTAACGTAAGCAACATCAAGATCACCATCATCATCATCACCAACATCATCATCATCATGACCATCACAACCATCATCATTAGCAACACCATCATCACCATCATCACCACTATCACCACCACTATCATCGTCATCATCCTCATCCTCATCCTCATCCTCATGATCGTCCTCATCCTCATCCTCAGCATCATCCAAATCCTCATCCTCATTTTCATCCTCATCCTCATCATCATCATCTTCATCTTCTTCGTCTTCATTGTCATCATCATCTTCCGCTTCATCATCCTATTCATGTTCATACTCGTCATCCTTTTCGTTATCGCCATCATCACCATCACCATCACCAACACGATGCGAAAAGATGCATCACATGTTACGACTTCCCCAAACCTCGGGACACAAAACATCATGCGTTACGGCCTCCCGCGCCCCTTCGGACAATCGCCACCGAGAGTGCTGGGCTGGCACGGTGGCGGGCTTGCCGCAGGCAGCTGGATAGCAGTACCTGGATAGTCTTGGGTAAATGAGGCAAGGGAAAAGTAGACGCCTGCACCCACTACGAACGGCAAACAAACATCGCTGCAAACATGCAACAAAGATAATCGCTGCCGCTCCGCCGTGCTGTCTGTCACCCACACACCAGCCACGCCGGTCAATAACAATGCCACATATGGCCAAACATTAAGCCTCGTTGTAAGGAAAAAGGCTGTCAAAGCCCCAATTGTTATCAACATAATACTGAGGAGCCGGTGTATATCCAAACGTCTCATCACGCTCTTCTCGATGACAATGTGCCCACACTCCTCGACCTCCTCCTTGACACTATCAGTCAAAAGATTGTGATAGGCTGCGTCGTCCACGTTCAGCATGAATACAACTGCGAGTGTATTGAAAAAAATGTCCAACGCCCGTGGGCCCCTGAACACCAAAAGGGCCGCTGTGCGTATCACAATGGGAAGCAGGGCGAACTGACGGAGTGCTGTCAATACAAACCACCCAAGCCGCCAGCCTGACCACCTGGCAGGAAGCGCGGAATAGTGCTGGCGCTCCGTAATCTGGCGCAATTTGCTCTCCCTGAGCTCGGAGGAGACATCCAAGGCGATTATGAAGAACGCCAATATCAAAGACGCGTGGTCATACCATGCGAAACTACCTATAATGACTGCTTTGGCATCCCGAAACCGTGTTGGGTCCCAACCGTGGCCGAACTCGTCGGGGTCGCGACAGCCTTGACACGCTCCCTGGTGACCGTTGGAATGCGTTTGGCAATACTCCGTGCTGTTGTCGGTCCCGCTGAAGCTCACGACGTAGTCTCCACACGACAGGCATCTACCGAACTCCGGATGGCAGAACTGCCCAGCGAGATGGCACTGCTGGGTGCTCTGGCAAGACGTGTTCACAGCTTCAAGCGACAGAGCCAGCGCGCAAGCTGTTTGCAGAGCCACCATGCAGATGCTGCCGGCCATCCAGCAGGACTTGTGCCAAGTTGGGCAGTCTGAGCGGAGACAATAAAACATCGCCACATGATGGAAATTCGCGGGTGTCAGCCTCACCTTGTCAGGTTCGGCCTTCGCTTGGGAGGTCTGGTCGCACGGACGCCGTGCGAGTGCTGCATCGCCTCCGTTGCATTCTTCTAGAGCGGAAGACCCCGCGTCGCGATCCAAAGCACTATGGGGAGTCAAGGGAGGCATTGGGCACGAGTACTGCTGCAAAGCGCCAGTGGTCGGAGTTGCGCCTACATCATACTCCGACTTCTTTGCAGCATCCAGCTTTGCAACGCGTGCCTGCAATCCAGCCACTTGTGCCTCCAAGCTGGCAAGACGCGCGGCGGTGTCTGCCTCGAAAGTGGTGTCTGGCATGGGCTTAGCAGTGGCCAACGTCCTTTGACGCCCACGCATACCCTGTGGTTCAGAAGGCGTCGACGCTCCCCGATTTCAACAATTCAATCGACCAACTGGCTCTGCCAACAAATGGCTGTTCTCTCGAGCTGAAACGGCTACGGAACTTCCTGGCGTCAGTACTGGCAGCGCGATGGCTGCCCGATGCGAGCGGCCCGGCTCGCAGTGAGCCTCTTGGCAAGCATCTTGGCGGCAGCGCTGGCGACGCGATGTGCTCCGCAAGCGAGCAAGCGGTCGGCCGAGCCGAACGCATTGTCTACGGGTCCGGCTGGTGTGCCGAAACACCAAGGCGCACTTGCGACAGAACAGCGAGCATACGAGCCAGGCAGCCAGGCAGAGGAAACGGGGGACAGGGACCGTGGGCCGCCGTCGCCGCCAGAGGAGCAATAATGAGATGGCACCTTTTCTTCTGCACGAGACTACTTCCGTAGCCGCACAGTATGCCACGCTGCCATGTCTGGCACAAGGGCGGACATGGGACTCGATATACCCAGATGAGGTTCGCACACCCTCTGGCATGCCTGCCAGATCGGTGAGCCACCGCTCAAGCTAGTGGCCATGCAAATCACGCCTCCGAGCAGTGCGGAAGCGTGCTGCAGAAAAATACCCATGCCTGAAGATGTATAGACGCAACGCATCCCGATCCCGCAGTGCGATATGTCGCACCGCCTGAAAGAAAAACTGGGCAGGCGCCCAAATCGATCAACATCGAACCAACGCTCGAGGCAACGGAAACGAGAAAACCGCGAGGAACGCTCCTCGCCATCTTCGCTAAGCTAGGCGTGCGAGCCTAGATGCCTCCTGGATGGGGTCCGAGTGCACGGGGTCGGAGGGTCGCGCCGCATCGGCGATGCATCGGCGACGTCGGCGGCGCATCGGCGACGCTGGCGCGGAGAGCATCGGGCTCTGCATGCATCCGCATCGCCGGCGTCTTGGCGATGCGGCGCGATCCTCGGACCCCAGTCTGTGCGGGCCCCACCATTGCACGTCCGAAACGGGCAGGGGCAACAGGGGCGCGCTACCCAACGACAAAAGGGTTGTCCAAAACCGCGGCCGCTGCTGGGCGGGCGGCCTCCCGCCTCGCATGGGCAGCGGAGCAAAAACGTCAGCGGCGATGCCGGCAGCGAGCCCTGCCCGCAGTGCAGGACACATGCCGTCGGCCTTCGCGCTCCGAGCTGCAAAGCGCAATGGGGTGGGGGCCGTCGCAAGCCCCCCGGACGAGCTGCGTCAGATCCCCCCCCCCCCCACAACCGGCCATGCGAGGGCGGCCTTCTGCCCAAGACCCCCCTGAACTGTCCAAGACAGCTCAAATGGGACCGCCTCGGGGATGGACAGAACCCCCTTTTAGTAAAGCGCTGTGTAGTGGGAACGACTTCGGGCCCAAACCTGGCGGGCGCAAGCCTGGAAAAAGACGGCCTCGGCGCCCTCTCGAGAACCGAAAACGGACAATTCACGAATCGACGTGTCGGGGTGGAGGTTTTGTCCACTCCTGGCCCCCTCCCAAATCAGACCACCACTGCTTTCCCATTCCGAAACAGCGAACTCCACTTCTGGCAAAGTGCGAACTATGCCGCTGGAAGCCAATTGGCGCCGAAATTCATCTGCAGAATACAAATCTGCTGCGAGATCCGGAGCACACGTCCTTTCTTTTCGAGCCCAGCTCGGCCGTCCCGACCCTCTGGGAGGCCCGGGCCGTCGACCAACTCAGAAAAGCCAGGACGAGGACGACTTCGGGAGGGCAGCTCGAGAATCTCTGAGCTCCCGCGGATCTGGAGGATGCCTCAGGCGCCGCGGCCTTCTCCAAGCGCTGCGGGACGATTTGGGATCGTTCCCGAGCTCTCTGGAACGGAGTTCTCCTCGTCCTAGTCCGTCCTACGCCCCCTCCCTCCTCCTCCTCCTCCTCCTTCTCCTCCTCCATGAATGGGTCCTTCTTCGTGGGTCGAGCTCAAGCGGCGAGGGGGGGTCCAAGGAGGAAGCTCGAGCGGTCGAGCTCAAGCGGGGGGGGGGTCCGAGAAACCGGGGAGAGCAGCGGGGGGGGGGATCCAAGAATCGAGGGGGGGGGGAGCTCGAGCGAGGACGGGGGAGGGGGTCGAGCTGAAGCGAGGGGGGGGTCTCCAAGGAGGAAGCTCGAGCGGGGACAGGGGAGGGGGATCGAGCTCAAACGGGGGGGGGGAGGGTCCAAGTCCTCGTCGTCGGTCGTCGTCGTCGTCGTCGTCGTCGTCGTCGTCCTCGTCGTCGTCATCGTCGTCATCGACGTCGTCGTCGTCGTCGTCGTCGTCGTCGTCGTCGTCGTCCTCGTCGTCGTCGTCGTCGTCGACGTTGTCGTCGTCGTCGTCGTCATCGTCGTCGTCGGTCGTCATCATCATCGTCCGTCGTTGGCCCGGTCGTCGGTCGTCGTCGTCGTCATCGTCCGTTCCCACACGCATCGGGAGCGCCCCGGATCGGCGGCACAGGCCGGAGGCCATTACAATAAGAGTTGCATGTAAATGGTAAAACATATATACAACCATTGCAAACTAGCGTGTTGAATTAGATTTACTGTATACATTATGCTAAAATTCTATGCCATCGCATCATAGTTTATATAACTCCTTTGAGCTGTATACAATTCAGTAAAACTTACAACCTTCGAAATTCAATTATGTTATGATGTGTGTCAAGTCGCTACAATTCGGGAGCTGTGCTTTCCGCACCGTGCATAGGCTAATCCATGCACGCCCCAAATGAGGGTGGGGCGAGCTTTCAAGTTCCTTGCAATGCGCGGCAAGTGCATGTGCCAAGGCGGCGGGTACTACTCGAATGCCCATGTTTGCCCTGCGCCGCTGTTATATAAACATCACCATTGCCATCCATCATCATTGGGCCGTTGGGGCATCATGGGGCGCCGTCTTGAGCCATCGCTTGCCTTTGCATGACAGCTTCTGCTCAAGGAGCGCATGGTTCATGGAACTCACGATTCTCGGAGAGCTTCTGCTCATGCACGGCTCATTGAGCTGTTCTGCTCATGGAGCTCATGACTCAATTTTTCCGACGGCCTTCGACGCCGGGATCTGCATATAAATTTCGGTCTACGAAATTGTCTTCAGGGCGTGAGCCTCGCGCTCGGAACCACGTGCCAAGGATGTGCACCAATGCCAATCGTCGCCGTCGCGTGCACATCGTAGCCGCCATCGCCAACCATCATCCTTGGTCCGTCTGCAGGGGGGGGGGGGAGCGGGGCATCTCGGGGCATCTGGGCCGTCGGCGCGGGGCCGCGGGTGCGCGAGAGTTTCTGCTTGTGGAGCCCACGGTTCATGGAGCTCACGGCTCACAGAGAGCCCTTGCTCACGGAGCTCATGGCTCATTGAGCTTATTGCTCGCGGAGAGCCTGTGCCCATGGAGCTCATGGCTCGTTGTATCCGACGGCCGTCGCCATCGCCGTGCACATGTGAACATGCGCGCATATGCATACACGTGGGTGAGCAAACCTTTTGGTCGGGGCAATTGTCTTCAGAGAGTGAGCCTCATGCTCGGAAGACGTAGCTCAATGGGAGGTGCGCACCCTTCGCTTTCGTCATGCGTCGTCATCGCCATCACTCGGGTAATTGGGGGCCGCCTTGGCCGTCTTGGGGCATGTGAGCTTTTGCTCATGGGGCCCATGGCTCATGACGATAATCTCAGCCCGTGGAGCTCGTGGCTTGCGGAGCTCGTGGCTCGCCGAGAGCGTCTGCCCATGGAGCTCGCCGTCGCAGTTTGTTTATTTTGAACTGTGTGTATACAAGAGGCACGTGTGTGCCCAGGCCCATACAAAAAACTGAAGGGGCGTTTGAAGCAGGAGTGAAATGCAACAGCGAGGTCGCACTCGAGCGCAAGTGGGGTTGCCACACCTTGCGACGTGCGTACCAAGGCCCCCCCAGGAAGCCTCAGGAGGCCCGACTTGGATACCAGAAGAGGCTCCAGGAGGCCCCAGGATTGTGAGTGTAGTGTGTGTGATGTGTGCTGTGTTGTGCGTGCTTTTTGAGCGTTGTAGGTGTTGTGCGTTATGTGTGTCTAGCGTGTGATGTGTTGGGCGTGATGTGTCTCTGTGTGTGCATGTAGTTATCAAGCTCCAGGCGGCCTCAGGAGGCCCCAGGAGACCCCGGGAGGCTCCAGGAGGCCGCGAGAGGCCCCAGGAGGCCGCAGGAGGCCCCAGGAGGCCCCGGGAGGTTTCAGGGGACCCCCGGGAGGCTCCGAGGCGGGGTCTGGGGTACCAGAAGGTTCAGAAAGCCCCAGGAGGCCCCGGGAGGTTCCAGGAGGCCCCCAGGAGGCTCCGAGGCGGGGTCTGGGGTACCAGAGGGTACGTCGGGGCTCGATGTTGGGAGGATGTTTCAGGCGAAACCGCCATTCTCTGAGAATCGGGGTCAAACTTATTGAAATCCCACCAGCCCTTTGGGCGTGAGTGGTTTAGAGAGCCCGCTCTGTTCTCAACCCCCTTCTTCCCCTTCGGGGAGGGGTTTACCCCTCCCCCTACCCCCTCCCCCTGGGCCTGGAGAGGGCGCCTCGCGGGTGGTCAGAGGGGTCTTGTCGACTCCTGGGAGGGCTAAAAAACGACACCCCTCACGAGGATTCTGGCCCCGACGAGGGGAGGGAGAAAACATGCTCGCCTCTTCTTTGAAGCCAAAATCATTGATTTTACTACTGTTTTGGCCCCATTTTGGCCTTTTGAGGGGCAGCGCTAATTAAAGCTCCCGTCTTCTTTCAAGCCAAAATCATTGATTTTACTAAGGTTTTGGCCCCATTTTGCCCTTCTGAGGGGGCAGCGCTCATTAAAGCTCCCCTCTTCTTTGATCGATCTCCTGCAAGATGGCCCCAAGACGCGCCCAGGAGGCACCAAGAGGCCCCAAGATGGCCCCAAGAGGCCCCCAGGAGGCCCCCAAGAGGCCTCCGAGAGGCCCCCAAGATGCCCCCAAGAGGCCCCCAAGAGGCCCCAAGAGGCTCCCCCAAGGCACCCAAGACGCTCCTGGAAGCCCCTGGGGCCGCCAAGAGGCCCCCAAGACGCCCCAAACGGCCTCCAAGAGGCTCCCAAGAGGCCCGAAGAGGCTCCCCCACGGCACCCAAGACGCTCCTAGAAGCCCCTGGGGCCGCCAAGAGGCCCCCTAGACGCCCCAAAAGGGGACGAGGTCATTGAACGCCTCACGCCACGAAGAGCCCGAACGACTCACACCAGGACGAGGGGCCCGAACGACTCACACCACGAAGAGCCCGAACGACTCACACCAGAAGGAGGGGCCCGAACGACTCACACCAGGACGAGGCGCCCGAACGACTCACACCACGAGGAGCCCGAACGACTCACACCACGACGAGGGCCCCGAACGACTCACACCACGAGGAGCCCGAACGAGTCACACCAGGAGGAAGGGCCCGAACGACTCACACCAGGACGAGGGGCCCGAACAACTCACACCACGAGAAGCCCGAACGACTCACACCAGGAGGAGGGGCCCGAACGACTCACACAACGAGGAGACCGAACGACTCACACCAGGAATAGGGTCCCGAAGGACTCACACAAGAACGACGGGGCCGAAGGACTCACACAACGAGGGCCCCCAACGACGCCCACCAGTCGTCGTCGTCGTCGTCGTCGTCGTCGTCGTCGTCGTGCGGGGCCAAGCGGACACACGCCTGAAAAACACGACTGTCGGCATGCTTCGCAAGAGTTGCTGTTGTGAGATGGGCTGGTGGGGATAGCGAAGCGTAAAGAATTACCGTGTGTGTTTGAAGGTTTTATGTTAAAATGTTGAACTTCCCATGTGTTGTTGGACCATGACGTCGCGATGTGCGTGAGGGGTGCCACCGATTTTCAGAATTTCGAAGATGTCCCTAGCGAGGCGGCAAGACAAATCGCGAACGCGGCGCCCCGCGCACGCATCAATCGCCTCTGAGCTCTACCCCCTCGGGGAGGTGCGCATGATAATATGTATGTATATGTAAATGGCTGCGCGCAGCCCCGCTGCGTGGGCTCGGCGTCGGCGCGGGCGCCTCGCCACCCCTATCGCCATGTCGCCCTTTGGTCGTTGAGGCCGTCTTGCGTGCGGTAATTTCGGGGCATCGGTGAATCTAGCTGGGGCCGTCGCTGGAGCTGGGCCGTTAAAGTGCGCGTGGAGCTCGCGGCTCATAGAGCTCGCAGCTCACGGAGAGTCTCTGCTCATGGAGCCTGGCTCATGGAGCTCATGGCTCGCGGAGGGCTGGAGCTCACGG